CCCCCGTGATTTAGGCCTACGCGGGGAACATCGACACTGCACTCAGGCAGACACATAGACGCTCACTGAACAAATCTACAAATCTACTGTACATGAATCAAAACACTATAAACTATGAATAACTTACTACGTAAATTGTACAACGGAAATTCACTGCACGTAAAACAAAAACTGAAAATTACAAAACTACTGAAATATGACGAAAACGGTATAAACAGAGAACAATACATAAAGGTCGGGATGGACGTACTGTCAACCCGTATAGATTTGGATGTCCTCCAATTTGAGGACTATATAAGCCTGTAATACCTCATGAACTACAGTGATATGAATATTTTGTCACTGCATGTAACTGATCTGAAACTATCACGAAAAAAGCATTTTTGGAACGTTTTAGAACTCTAGACAAAATAGGAAAAAAGTTATAGTGAAATGAAAGTACAAAGCAACGGTTTGCGACAACTCTTTATTCACGAATAATAAAACCGAATATAAAATGATTTTATTTATAGCTTCAAAATAAAAGCAGGTTCCCCTTTGATTTCACTTTTTTAACTCGGAACATTGTTTACTTTAGTTCTCGGAACTCAGCAATATATTAGAATCCAAAACGACTCAATTTTCGAATGATATAGATAAAAATGCAAACGTTTTCCCTTCAGATTTTCAAACAAGTTTAAGTAATAATAATAATAATAATAATAAATAGTATTTATATAGCGCAAAATATCCACCAGGTTCTGATGCGCTTTACAAAATTGAATATAGAAAAATTCAATAGTATTATAAAAATTTATGAAAAAAGATATAAAAAAGATATATAAAAAAGGTTTATTTGAAAAAGAATTTAAATATGTACACTGTTTACTTATGAATATATACTTTTTTTTTGCATTATACACAAATACAACAATAATAATTTCATCATAAAACTTCAAAAATTATTTAATTGAAAATGCTTTCTTAAAAAGCCAAGTTTTAATTTCTTTTTTAAAAATACAAAGTTAAGTTCAGAAACTATTAAAATTTCATGATTTTGCTCGTCTGCACAATATAATTAAATCAAACGAAAGACGAGAGTTCTTTGGTGAAGGGTGCCCGGGTTTTTCCTTGGAGAGGAAAAAAGTTCCCAAAAACTTTGTCAAGTCCGGCTTCGAAGCTTGCCAGCATTCTACAATCTAAATCTAAATCGTGCACTTACCTTCAAATTGAAATGCTCAAAGTTTTCAAAGTCTATCAAGTTGTTTTTCATCGTGAATTGATCCGAAGGAAGTATCTCACAAATATGAAGTCCATTAGACTCGGAAACAGTCTTAAAATTTCCTGCTTGGCACCAAAGGTTTCGAGTGCACTGTGTAAAACAATCCATTTTGTTTTTCACCAAAGTTGTTTGAGATTTTGAAAAATTCGTAAGAATTAACTTTTGATTGCGGTAAAARTCGAAAAGTGTAGGCTGTGTATGCAGTTGAGAATTGGCATTTTCAGCTGCCCAAAATAAAACWGCAATCACTACAATAAAGAAATCCATCTTTATGRGTTATGGAGAACATGTGCCAATAATTCACACACGCAAGTATGAAGGAAAACAGGTTGATTAATAATTCATGAATACATGAAATGTTTTAATTGAATTTGGTCGCATTACTTAAATGTGACGTCGTTTTGTGTTGGTGTGGAGATGAACGTCCGTCTCGAAAGAGAGTTCGTGGACATATTGAATGCAATATGGGAGCTGTAACGGGTTCCTGGGAGAAATACATCTGTTATATGTCCCAGCCAGCTGTCAGTCACAACTGGTTGTCAGCAGAATTATAATGCATTCAGAATTTTTTTTTTTTATCACGCACAGGAATAGGCAATCACGAATATCTCTTAAATACTCAAGTGCTTTAACGGCCGTAAGGGAGCGTTTTTTTCCAAATTTAAAATTCTACTTCTAAATCACTTTCCAAGGAGAAAAATCATGAAGAACAGTTATATAGAGAAACAGACCTGGTCGGCCCCTGCGCATCGACGCCATTTGTATTTACAAAAGACTGGTTTTCAGTAGACATAAACATTAGCACTAACGAGATACACTTATTTCAAAAACGACACAGTACAAAGTTAGGTTGAGTAAGAGCTTTTGAATTTTGACTAGACCCTGTTCTCAATGTCGGTTGGCGACCAGTTAAAATTCTAGGCATTGTAGGTAGTAAAAAAAACAGTTGAATAGGAAATCGCACGACCTTGAGTAAGCTTTGAGTACAATTTGGAATTAATACAATGAGTCACGAGTAATGTTTTGAAGTTTCGTAATTGCACATATTGCACAAGCGCGATAGGGCGAGTGCAATTTGAGAACTTTCAAAACATTGAGATTAGATTAGATTAGATTCTTCGATATAGCGAATAGATTCTTTGAAATACCGTTTTACGGAATCATTTCTATAAAAGATTAAATAAAAACACATCAACTTTTTTGCATTTATGTATTTAATTTGGATATACAGCTGTGCGTGTATTCATCCCTGACGTCATGCAAGTTTTAATTAGCTCATTTATATGTGATCTTTTTTCCAAATTGAAACTAACCCTATACTCCCAAAAGCCAAGGGTTTAAACCCATAAAAGCTTAAAGCCTTCTGGGAAGAAAGGCTCAGGCCCGAGCTATATATACGCCAAATTTCACGTGCCGAATACAACTGCTATTTAGTCGACTTAAATGTTTGAATGCGGCATTTGATTTAGACGCCGAATTTCAAGTGACGAATTTAATTCCCAATCTTGTGTCCAGATCGCCTCTGTCGCCCCTATCATGTCCGAGGAACCCTGGTCACGAGATGGGTGGATAACCCTTAATTGCCCTATTTCATTATGACGTCACGGTATGTTTACATCGGAGAACGATGCTCAAAAAAGTGGAAATTTGGACCCATTTATATTGTCTACTAAAGTAGAACTTCAGTGAATCGTGTTTTGATATATATATCATGTATAATACCATGATCACCTCGGATTCTTTTGTCTTCCGAGGGATGTTTACAAGCGAACATCCCTCCCTCATGAATGGCATGAGGGACGATTACTAGTAATCGTCCCTCATGCATAATAACATGAGGGACGATTACCAGTAATCGTCCCTCATGCATAATAACATGAGGGACGATTAGACTAATCGTCCCTCATGTTATTCATGAGGAACGGAAGGCAAAGGAAACCTTTGCTTCCCAGCAGGGACAACTGAATGTCCCTACAGCTGTCTTCTTTTTACCTCTGCAATGAACGNGCCAAAAGATGCTTCTAATTTGCTATGTTCTCCACGTAGAATTGCCTTAATATTGAAGCTAAAGAAAGCTTTCATGAAAGCRAAARCAGACATTAAATAAAATATTARAAAATTCSCTAACTTGTGAAATTATAGCAGGATTTTCATGTTTTAACCAATGGGATGGATGGATTATACATAATGCACAATTAGCACCTTCTTGCATTCCTTTGCCGTTTGMTTCCCTAGTTCTTACTCGGGGCATTACTTAATAGGCAAATGTGCAGCGACGCCATTTTGTGCAGCAAAGCATGATGGTAGTTGCAGTCCTAACATTTTTCATTGCCCATAAAATATCATATTTAAAGCCGTTTTTATATTTTCTTTTTAGAAATGGCACAAATACTYTTATTTTCGCTTAGGAAAAGAGAAAATATCTTAGGAGTATTGTTTTAGCTGTAGTAAAAGAATACGAAGACTGCAACTACCATCATGCTCTGCCGAACAAAATGGCGTCGCTACAAATTGMCTATTGGGAAAAAGGGCARTCATTTGGTGTGAATAATGGGTGTTAAATGAACAAAAGMGGAACTTTTCATGTAATAGTCGTGTCGAAAAATATCAATTTTTGGCATCATTCAAATTTTGCATCAATTCAATAATAACTGAACACTTAATCGCGCACTTGAAAGGTTGTAAATTTGATGTAAATATAATGTAAGTGTCCAAAATGATATAAATGGACACTTACGTCATATTTACATTATGAAAAAGTATAATTTTAGCGACTTTTTAAGTGAGTATACCCCTTATTACACCATGATAAGTTTATATAGATATTGTAGATGTTTACTAGTCTTCTCTCGTGACCGTTATAAGGCTTGGTGTTAGGAGCGAGAGATCTGGGAACGAGCCTCGTAACGGCTGCARGAGACTGTTACAGATTTTTTTTCAAGACACTCTATCTAACCTTAATACAATCTGTGGTATAATAGTTTTGCCACGTCTGCGCATCGTCGCTATAAGATATTGTGTACTTAGTGACCCACKTTGGATTATTGTTAGATCGACCCTGTGTGGCTACCATGGAGATGACCTTGGTACTCTTAAGGTCAACTTGAATATACTCGCCAATTAGATCTCCACCTGCAGCCCAGCCACCAATAGAAYTGAMWGGATTTCCTGAGTCGGTCTTGCGAAGTCGGCCATTCCTGTTATGAATGAATGCTATAGTCATTGTACATATAAAAAAAACATACCAATATAGATAGTATGTTAAACTATAGACTCGACAAGAGTCGGCTTGATATGTTGTGTTAGCCATTTAAAGTGACATGGTCCACGAGCATCCCTTTCGAACTTTTGCTAAGCAAAAAATGGCCAGAAAGKYCGGACATTTGAGCCCGCAATCGCAGCGGTACTTCGCATAAATGCATAAAAAYATGTTTGTAAATTTTACAAAGAAATGTATGGATCAAAAAAAATATTTGAGAATAACATTTCATCTGTTTTAACTGGRAAGATTCCATAGATGAATTCGTAGAGGGAAACTATTCTTGAWTCCAMTGTAGGAAATCCAAATAAATCCAATATYGTTAACAGCGTCCTTTTTGCCAATTTATTTTCCTTTCGTCGTCTCCCTTTGGCCTTGTATCTCATGGTGAAAATTCGCGAAGAAGCGAAATTTCACCGTAGCTGATCGTGTTCCTTTACATGTCACTGATATTCCATAGATCATTTCTCAAAGTCGACATATTGAGGTAGGAACACAGCGATTTTCAGCTATTTTGAAGACGATCAACAGCGTCCTTTTTGGTACTAGAAATCGTACAATTTGAAAACACTAACTTGACGCTGAAATGGTTGGCGAAGACGCATGTTTCACGCGAATACTTGGCCTGATCTTCCATTTTATTATCCATGTTTGGCTACCAAAACAAACCTTAGAAACATGGCTTTCAGACTGGGACTGCTTTAATTTTGGAGGTTTTTACTGGTGCCTTGCGCGCACTGCTAAATAGCGCAGATAGCGGGAAATACGAACGAAAGATAGGCCAATCAAGTCTAGTGTAAACAATGTCAGACCTTTTAAATTCCTTAGAAATGTACAAGTATAAACAAAATATCACAATATCAACTGATGATCATTGTTTAAAATACCTGAGGGAAACGTGTGTTCCAGCAAATAATATTATTTACACTATGAACATTCCAAACGAGCATTTCACAAGCCACTAATGAACTCAAGGATCAGGGCGTGCTATCCCAATACTCGTTTGTCGATGTTTTAAACGTTTCGATTTTAGCCCAGTATTGTATTAGGATAAAGCATCGTTGCACAAGAGTAGAAAATTTGATCTTTAAAAGTTCAAACCTCAAGGGAACTTGTAGAAAGCTCTATTTTGGTGGGAAAACCCGCTGACTCGTCCTGGGCTCAAATGTCCGGAATTTCTGGCCATGTCTTACTCTTTATTGTCCCTTTATCCGGTATCCCTTTATCCGGGATGCTCGTCGGATCTTTTAGGGGTAAAAATTCGTGATTTGGAATCTCTGCGGTACCAATTTGGAGTTTCTGGAAATTTACATTTTCTGCAATCGCTTATAGGGTGTCGGAAAAGAAGAGAAAGAGCGCATCCTCTGCGTTTTGTTTTGTCATTGAAATTTTATTCATTTTATCATTGGAACTGATTTGATTTGTTGTGCAATCTCTCAGGGATTAAAAATCAGTCAGCCACACCCTTTTTTAAGACTTCTGGAATCTTTTAGGGGTCTTTTTGAAAAACKTCTGACGAGCATCCCCGGTACTTTTACCCCAGCCCCCCACCCCACCACCACCACCAACGGGACCTTCAACAAAAACTTGTACTTTCGATCGCTGCACGTGCCTCTCACAACAATAACCCCTACCGGGATGGACTGCGTCACGTCATTTCGATATTACATATTACGCACTGAAATTTTTTTCGATTTTTCATAAGTATTTACCTTGCTGCGTGGGCTTCATTTGATGCGGCGTATGATGATGATGTAATCTGCGCATCCTTTATTCGCCCGTCCTCCATTCCCAACGGTGCAATGCAACCTAGTGATAATGACAAGAAGTCAACTTTAAACACATAATATGTGTTAGATGTGATTTAAATGATTCCGAAGAGATCGGGTTTTACTTTGTGTACCGGAGCACAGATTACGCAATACTCCAGTTTCGAATTCATAGCGAGTAACCGCTGCTTTATTTGACAACAGATTCGCTTGCGCAAAGACCTTACAAACACAAAAGAGAGCACGAGAAAATGTCGTTATTACCATAGACTTGAAAATTTGCATTTTCCCCGAGTTGAGATTATCCCTGTATTCCCATTAGACCTAAGGTATGAGCAGGGTTAGACTCAACTCGGAGAAAATGTAGATTCTTAGAGCTCTATTGTATTAACAACATTTTCTCGTGCTTTCTTTTGTCTTTGGTAAGTTCTGTGCGTAATAGAATCGGCTATCAAGTAAAACAGCGGTTATTCGCTTTGAATTCGAAACTGGAGTCAAAACTGGAGTTCGAAACTGGAGTCGTGGAGTATTCAATGGAGACAAAGGGTTAAAACAAGGGAGCAGAATCTAGACAAGACAACATCTGGAGGATAAAACCAAAGGATTTTACCCTCTTGGGAACTAGAATCTATTGTTTTATCCTCCAGTTGGAGTTACATTCCCACGAACTGCAAGGGGTCTATACCCTGAAATACAATGAAACCTAACCAGAATACAATAGTTTTTGAAAGTCGTGTAAAATGTTCCACGTACTTCCATCAGAGATCATTTTTATATTTAAATTAGATCCAAAATTGCTGTCTGCTGATTGGTTAATGCAGTATACCGCAAAGCGCGCGCAATTATAGCAATCTTGTATCATTACTACTTATGGCAGCTGTCGGATGTTCTGGGCATGTCGAATTGGTCTCTACCGCTGGTCCATGGCAGCTGTTTTCATAAGGAACGGGAGCAGTGCATTCTCTAATTCGCTTTGGNCGATTTTTCATAAGTATTTACCTTGCTGCGTGGGCTTCATTTGATGCGGCGTATGATGATGATGTAATCTGCGCATCCTTTATTCGCCCGTCCTCCATTCCCAACGGTGCAATGCAGCCTAGTGATAATGACAAGAAGTCAACTTTAAACACATAATATGTGTTAGATGTGATTTAAATGATTCCGAAGAGATCGGGTTTTACTTTGGGTACCGGAGCACAGATTACGCAATTCAAAGGAGACAAAGAGTTAAAACAACGGAGCAAAATCTAGACAATAGACCCCTTGCATCTAACGTCAAAGCAGCTTCATCTGGAGGACAAAACAAAAGATTTTTGCCCTCTTGGGAGCTAGAATCTATTGTTTTATCCTCCAGTTGGAGTTGCATTCCCACGAACTGCAAGGGGTCTATAACCGATCTGCGAATAGACCTCTGCAGCTTTTACGTCATGTACCGTATACGCAATGCATTGTACATGGCCTATTTCTTTTGTTTTCTCTTGAAACTGATCCCACAATGCTAGAATCTATTGTTTTATCCTCCAGTTGGAGTTACATTCCCACGAACTGCAAGGGGTCTATACCCTGAAATACAATGAAACCTAACCAGAATACAATAGTTTTTGAAAGTCGTGTAAAATGTTCCACGTACTTCCATCAGAGATCATTTTTATATTTAAATTAGATCCAAAATTGCTGTCTGCTGATTGGTTAATGCAGTATACCGCAAAGCGCGCGCAATTATAGCAATCTTGTATCATTACTACTTATGGCAGCTGTCGGATGTTCTGGGCATGTCGAATTGGTCTCTACCGCTGGTCCATGGCAGCTGTTTTCATAAGGAACGGGAGCAGTGCATTCTCTAATTCGCTTTGGTACACAAAGAGAAGGTAGGCAACTTGACCACTGACTCCATGGAGACCACAGTCCGTCTAAAAAAAATAATCATATTAATGCAAAACATTAATACTAGCTAAGCAATGGGAGTTTCAGTTCAGCATTTTCCGTAATTCAAAGCAAAAAAAAAACGCTGTTTTATTTGACAGCAGATTCTTTCACGCAATGCCCGGTCAATTCTGCAACAACTATTGTCTTTGCACGAATTGCCGGGATGAGCTTTATGGACGGCGCCTTGTCTTGATTACTTTGTGTGTGACTATAGAGGCAAAAATAGACTTCTGAACCTTTTATGTCACTACGTGATTTTCAATGCATTGTGGGACCAGTTTCAAGAAAAACCAAAAAAATCGGCCGTATTCTGTCCCAAACATGTCCTACAATGCATTGTGTATACGGTACATGACGTAAAAGCTGCAGAGGTCTATTCGCAGTTTGGCTATAGACCCCTTGCAGTTCGTGGGAATGCAATAACTGGAGGACAAATGAATAGATTCTAGTTCCCAAGAGGCAAAAAATCTTTTGTTTTGTCCTCCAGATGAACTTGCTTTGACATCACATGCAAGGGGTCTATTGTCTGAAAACATTAGTAATTTGCGCATGCGCAGAGCTTTGAGAGTATTACCTTGGCATTGTTCACCAATTAGTCCCAGTGAACATTTACAGTGATGGGTGTCTAGTGTCGCTTCACACTTTCCATCGTTCATACACGGTTTCTTCAGGATATGGCACGGAGTCTAAAAAAATGATGTATAGTACACATGATTTTATCACATATGATAATTCTCTCGCTTTCTGATTGGTCGAGAGCCGTGGTAAATAAAATTACATACCACGGTCGCTACTTTGCTCGTGATTAACTTCGATACTTTAAAGAAAATGAGCTTGTTTACATTGTATTTAACCAATCAAAAGAGCGAAATAGTATGTACCATGATTTCTTAAAATAAATGTTTTGGTCCAGTTTGAAATGAGATCTCAGTTGTTCTTTTTAGGTTGCAAAACGAGCGCAGTACTGAAAGCAATTATTTGTGGTAAAAAAAACACAAATGTCTCGTGGATCTACAACAAGCTAGACGATTCGATGACCCAACTGTGGTATATAAATATAAGAGGACGCGAAACTATCGTCATTTTCTCGTGCTTTCTTTTGTGTTTGGTAAGTTCTTTGCGAAAGAGAATGTGCTTTCAAATAAACAGCGGCTATTCGCTTTGAATTCGAAAATGGAGTAATTAACTTTCACTATTCAGCTGTTTGACTTTTTTGACCCTAGATGTCCCCCGGTATATATCTGCTAGGCCACGCTTTCAGCGCTAAAATAATGTAACTTTGTATACCTTTAGTCTGAGCAAGGGAGCACGGCAGAATGGCTTTTGTGCCTATTCATTTACGATCAAACGGCGCGGAACGATCGACGTTACGCATTCGGCGCTCGAATGACGTCACACGTCCGGAACACATCCGTTACATACGGTCAGCGGATAAACATTCAAATATTCAAAATAGGTCAACGATCGTTCCGCGCCGTTTGATCGTAAATGAATAGGCACAAAAGCCATTCTGCCGTGCTCCCTTGGTCTGAGGTAGGGTATGTAAAATCAAAAAGATTGGTCTGGATAGGGTGAGGGTTTTGAGAGTCGTGCCCCTGGGGAGGACCCACCGTTTGTAAACAGCTACTGAAGTTGATCACGAATTTGCATTATTAAATAGAAAGTGTATTTATCAAAAAATGGACGAAAATTTAGAAAGGGTGGATACGTTTAAAGACATAAAGATTTCAAACGCCATATTACATAGTGGGGAAGAGCCCGGGTGTAGCGGAATAGTTTCCAGTAGAAACTATCGATTTACCTTCACGTTAAAATGCTCAAACTTTTCATCTTTTACGACTTTGTTGATCTTCGTGAAGCGATCTGAGGAGAGTATCTCACAAACATGRAGTCCATTGGATTCGGCAACRATCTTGAAATTCCCCGCACGACACCATAAGTTTCGAGTGCAYTCGGAAAAACATCCCATTTTGTTTTTGACTTGASTTGTTTGTCCTCTTAAGGAATTTTGAAGAATYAGCTTTTGYTCGCCATAAAGATCGAAAAGTATTGGTGCTGGATGCAGTTGAGAATTGACACTTTCAATTTTAAGCAAAACTGCGAATAGGAGAACGAAGAGATCCATCCCATGTGGATGATACAGAACGATTGCAACAGCGGCACTGAAGCCCCCCACTGAARCATTTTAATTGGACATTCACTGATGTGGGCGCACAAATTGCCTTCATTAATTAGATATGATGTTGTTTTGCCAGTACTGGGAATGATTATAGGCWGAGAGATCTATAAAGTAATATCAAAATGCARAAACGATAACAAATATTACGGCGGGCGAAAACAAAAAWCAGCCATTCTTCGTTTTCAAATAAAATGATAAAATACGAAAAATAAATTTCCCTAAACTTAGTYTCAAACAAAATTCAAGTAATCCACGTGAAAGAGCGAGTAAAACTCTGAAWTTTTTTAATTTTTTTTTTGGCCAAGATGAATTTGTAAACTATTTTTTTAATAGAARGATCGACAGGAGGTAATGTTCCACGGCAACAACATTTTAGAGAGTTTTAAAATCAAAGATAAAAGTTTGGCACTTGCACTAAATAGACGTATTAGAATTCTGTACTTCTGTGAAATTTTGAGTTTTATATGTCCAATCTTTACCAAGAATATAGGTCCCACCAGAAATGGTGGCTAACATTTTGAGAACAAAACTTCAGCAYACAGGTGCTACAAGTAATTGAGATATTTTATTTGTTTATAAAGCTTTCAAACGCATTGTTATAATTATGTTTTTAGCTAGCGCTCCCCTGCCGGTTCCTAGCTCTGAGTCTATTGTCATGTCACTGTTAGCCTTTAGCAGTGACACTATTGWTCGTTTTCACCTACTCAGGGGCGGATCCTCCCCTCCCCTCCTCCCCTGTTACTACTCTTCATGAACAAATGACTCAATACTCCAGTTTCGAATTCTCTTTTGTGCAAGCTTAGCTTCAATCAAGCATAAATTTTTATTGTCTTCTTTGTACGCAGAGTGTTTGCATTACAATAGATTCTCTGCTGAATAAAAGAATATATTACATGCTTTCGAGGTTAAGGCTGCACAAACAAGATCTCGAAACTGGAGTATAAGCAACTTGCATTATGGCGTAACGTTTCTACAACTACCAAAGAGCCTTGCGCGTTTTCATTGTTATTCAGATTTTTCATCTTGGAGAATTAATAAAACAATTGGCACTAATTGCATTACAAAAGAAAGTTGGCAAAACATTCTGTAGTCATTGTAGTAAATGACGCCATTTTTTATGCAAATCGGCTATTTTGGTGTTGCCATCATGCAAACATCTCCATTTCTTTATTCTGAGATTTCTAAAATGAAGTAAGTCACTCACATATTTCCAGTGCATCCTT